GCCTAATATACATATGAATGACTAGCCAGTTTAGCTTCCACTTCCACCATTTGACTGCTCTCCGGGTTTTATAGGTAGAAACGCAAAATGATTGCTCCGCGGGGGTTTAAGTAAGTCATGTATGTAGACTACTATTTAGAATATAATAGAATCATTGTACAGCTACAGCATCTGACCCAGTGTTTGTGCTACTGGTTAATTAATGTTCTTTTGTTTAGTGTTATTCATGGTTCAGTTTCCCTGTTTTTCATACTGTAGTCATTTGCATTTCTAGTTCTCTTAGTTAGGGTTGTTTTGTTCTCTCATGTATCGCTGTGTGGTTCAGTTCAGGAAAAGTTTAACTCAAAGAGGCAGCTTTTACTTGTTGTGACCAAAAAAAATTAAAAACATTAGATGCAAGAAAACATAACCCGAAACTGGAAACTGAAACCTGGAAACTAGAACTAGGAACAGACTAGGAATCTCCAAAAGTTGATTCAATTCATCTGGACGTAGCGTTTTCAGTGAGAAACGTTTTCTCACTCATCCAAGTGACTTCTTCAGTCTCAGCTGACAGCAGGTTTCCCCAATCTTATAAACAGTACATTTGCATAATGACTGAAACCAGCCCACTGAAGGAACAATGGGCTGGGAGGTCGGGAACTGATCTAATGGATTGCATTTATATAGCGCTTTTCGGGACCCCTCAAAGCGCTTTACAATACCACTATTCATTCACTCTCACATTCATACACTGGTGAAGGCAAGCTATAGTTGTAGCCAAGACACAGGTACTCAATATGCGTACTTGTGTTCTCATGCACTCATGATACGTCATCAGTTGGAGACCAAGTACTGTTCCAATTCAAAGTACGCATCAAGCCGAGAATGTGAAAAATTCCCGGATGTGTTCCCCCTTCCGCCTGTTTTATCGAGCATGCATTGGTGGTGACTTGTGTGTACTTGGTACAGCTAAATATCCCAGAATGCAGCAATGATGGAGGAGCGCAGCTAAAAACTTTTAAATATTACTCTTTCTGGGTCACAAAATAAACTTTTAAGTTATTTTCAAGCGAGAATGTAGCTGTGTAAACTTCAAATATCTGCTCGATTTATCAAGATATCATATATTTCCAAATTTGGTTTATTTCAGTGTTTTATTTGTTCCTAAGTAAATCAGTTTGGCTGAGATTAAAGTTAAGCTTCATAACATATTAATTAAAGTTAATTTAAGAGGGGACAGTAGTAAAAACTCCAGACCTGTGACATCCTCGGGTACGCTGGTGTTCCAACTGTACAAATCGCGAGTCCGTGCTAGCGTTCTCGGCAAGTCTGGACTCACCAAGAACGCGAGTACGAGAAAGGGCCACAGACACAGACTGGGAAAGGACAGACATGAGAACACAACTTACTGGGTGACTAGACATGACAGGTGGAACACAAGGGAGGCACAGTAGCAAAAGCTAAAGACTAGAAATTATAAATAAACCACAAAATAACTAAGAGAACTAGAAATACAAATGACAACACTAGGAAAAACAAGGAAACTGAACCACATATAACAATAAATCAAATAATATTAATTAAGCTACACACAAAGATAGGACCATGACAGTAAATCATGTTTCCTAGTTTAATTTCCAGTTTACTTGAAAAAATAAACATTCTCATGTTTAATGTAGAAGGTTAGATGTTTATACTGCAACTTGAATTCACCTCACATTTGTGGATCTGTGCGATGGTTAAATTAGTCTCAAAACCCCACTTGGGAATACAACCTGATCTGTGTGTATTGCACGTTTTGTCGACACAAAGGTAAGATGTTGTAAGTGAAAGAGACATTATGTGTAGTTTTAGACATTTGTATCCAAAGAAAGGTTTTTGTTGGGGGTTTTTGAAATATTTCATTTTTTTCTTATTTTACATGCATTGTGGTTGTTTAAATCAGCGGCCCCCAACCTCCGGGCCACGGACTGATAGTGGTCCGTGAGTCGTTTGGTACCGGGCCGCGAGAGCTGAGGCTTGGACGTGAAATTTATGGTTTTCAGGGGTTTTATCGTTAATTCTGTCTTTTCCCGTGTTGTAGTTGTGTTTTGTTTTGAAATAAATATTTACGCGTTGCCATAGCGACCAGAGAGCATTAAGGGGCAGAGAGGAGGATGTTACTCTCAATGATGTTAGCGCATTTCAGGAGGACGCTGCTAATAAAGTTACACAATTACGCAGTGAATTCACACTTATTATTATATTTACAAAATATAGTTTTTGTCTTGGTCGTATTATTTAATTTTGTTGTATTTATCTGCGACACCTTAATGGCCTTTCCGTGAAAATATTGTCGGACATTAAACCGGTCTTTGGCGCAAAGAGGGTTGGGGACCGCTGGTTTAAATGATTTTTGTGGTATATTTGAGTTATTTATTACACTTGAAGGTATTCATGCTTTAATAAAAAGGCAAATGGAACTTAAAAAAATATTTACATAAAGCTAATTTTCTGTTTCGTAAATCTGTGGTCTTGTGTGTTGTGTGGGTTGGAGGTCTTATTTACTCTTACAGAGACTGCTACTGCCAGTCTCCTTCCCAAACCTAGCAGATCAGTGAGCATGAATCTGAGAAAGCCTGAGATAATTCTAAACTGGAAGAGCCTAGGTCTAAGATTTGTGATACAAGCCCTAGATTCAGATATCGTAGATGTTATACTTGGGGTCAGCAGTATAGATCTCTTTATATAAGATAGAGGGACACATGTCCCCGGTTTACGTAAGCATCAGGCTTTCAAATGAATTAAACCTCTGTCTTGGTCTTTGGTTGATTAATAAGCTGGTGTGGAAGATTGCTGCCACACCGCCCCCTCGGCCTGTGCTTCGAGTATTCTGATAGTTAGTATGACTCGGGGGTGTTAATTCATTTAAACTAACATTTGCATCCTGCTGCAACCAGGTTTCTGTAAGGAAGAGTAAACCTATTTTGTTGATCAATTGTTACTTCATGTACTAACAGAGACTTTTGTTTTTTTCTGTCTTTGGGATTTTTTTCTGTTTAAGTTGTTTTTTTTTTTTGTTTTTTTTTTGCTGATTTTTAGCTTGGTTTTTTTTTTGTTTAGGAGCTGACACAGTCTCTAAGGGGATTGGAGATAACAGGAGGAGAGAAGCTGCAGAGAGGCGTATAAGACTGCAACTCTGCTTCCTGGTCCCAACTCTGGATAGTCACGTTTTTGGGGGTTTAATAAATTTGGCCAGATTTCTAGAAATGAGAGCCGCTCCACCCAAGGTGGGATGGATGACAGCTCTCCTAAGAAGACCAGGTTTTCTCCAGCAAGTTTTCCAATTATTTACAAAGCCCACGTTGGTTTTTGGACACTCAGACAGCCAGCAATTTAAGGCAATTTTAGTGATGTTTGATTGACGTAACTGGGTGTCATTACTGCCGACGTGAATAAGAACTTTACTGAATTTACATTTACCCATAGCCAGCAGTTTTAATTTCACTCAATGTTGCCTGCTCTGCCCCCTGGGAGACAATTGACTGTGGTTTCTGGTGTCTTTAGCTTCACATGTCTCAGAAAGAATCACCAGTTCCCATGGTTTGACGCAGTGGGTGTGTCGCAGAGTGGGGAAAAGTTAGTTAGTCACACGGTGCACCGGGGGCTTCTATTTAAGACCAATCTACCTCTGCTTGCTTTGTATTTGTGTGTGGATTAAAGCATGCACTTGTGAGTCCTCAAAAGCTCAACACAAATAATTGTACACATTTGTAAATCTTTGTTTACATTTGTGTGATCATATCATACGCATATGCAACACTTTTGAAGCAAAATGCTATTTATAATGCAAAGACAGATGATCTGTTAATGAAACTAGTATAGATTTGATTATGTGCAATCATAAACATGCCACTATAGTGATATAACCTCAGAAACTAAACACAACTCACATACAGATGGGTTGGGTGGCCAAAAGCATAACATACCAGCAATTTGTCACATATGTTACATTTTGGGATGAGAACGTGATGGTGCTATCATATGTAAACATGCCACTATAGTGAATATACCCTAAGAAACTATACACAACTTAAATGAGCAAGTATATCTGATATGTACCTGCACAGGTGTGCTCATTGTGCTTCATTAACATATAGATCCGTGCTGACTTCTGTTCTAGTTCCTGCTCTCAGCCCAGCTCCTCTCCTGGAACATTTCCCACTTCCCGTCTTGCTCTCTGTTTTACAATAACAATAACCAGTTTCACTTCCTCCAGCCTTTTTGTTTGTACTTCTCCATAAACACCTGCTGAAAGCAGCAACTTGGAAAGTTTAAATCCCAACTCAAAACTCATCTGTTCAAATCTGCATATTCACTATGAATCCACTGCTTTTGTTTTATTGTTCTTATTCTGCCATTGTTTTACTAAGTGTTTTATCCTATTGTAAAGTGTCCTTGGGTGACTTGAAAGGTGCTCATAAATAAAATTTATGATTATTATTATTATTATTAAGCTGTTAGGCTGAAGGAGTCCTTTCTGGCTGGTTGGTTGGCTGCTATTCTTGCTGCCATCTGTTACAGCTTGGTACATCTTTGTCAAATATGAAGTCACAGTATGATTACCTGAGCAGGTGAGTTTCAGGATTTGGTCAGTGTAATGCGATGTTGCACAGTCCCTCAGAGGAGATCTGGACAGAACACAATCAGAACTGATCAACCACCCAGTTGTGCGTGAGGAGTCTACCATTTCTATATAAACAGCTGAGCCACAGTCCAGTTGTTCACAGGAAACAGCTGCTTCTTTCAGGGTCCAGAAAAAGCCATACACTGGTCTCCACTCCCCCAGATGTTTAAACTCCAGTGTACCTGTACAGCGACTGGCTCCTCCCACCAACCTGAAATCAGGCTCTGAACAGAAAGCAGAGAGTCATCATTAAAAAAATAAAGTGAGTTTGAACCAGATCAAAGCTGCAGCTCCTCTTCTACCTGAGCAGGTGAGTCCAACAGCTTTGCCAGGTGAGCAGCTGTTTCTAGCTGAGCCTGAGCTTCTACAGTCCAGGAGAGCAGACTCATGGCCTCCACACTGGAACTCTTTGCTCCACACTGGAGCCTCCACTTCTCCATACAGCGCCCCCTGGAGGACCGAAGGAGGCCCACAGCGAAGCTCCCTACAGACCACCTCTGCATCCTGCTGGTCAAAGTCCGCTTCACACACTGAGGACCAGCTCTGGTTAGACTTCACCTCCAGTCTGCCTGAACACAGACTGGAACCATTCAGCAGCCTGACAGAGTCTGGAGACATCAGAGAAGATCAAACAGAGAGATCAGAGACAGCAGACACACAAGAAAAAGATGGCAGCAAACAACTATTCACTGACTCAAACTCAGCTCAACTCCAATATGACTTTTAGCATCACATTTACACTTTGTAATCCAACATCTGTTATTGCAGCCCTAGCCTACTGGGATTTTCCTTTGTGGGTGATTATTGATGATTATTTTTCCCTTTTCTTGTGGAACCAGTAAAATGAGTGCAACTGACTTCACTAAACAGTCAGCTCTGGTACCAGGACATGGCCAGAGAGAAAATATTTTATATTTTAAGCTTTTTATATTTAAGCTTTTTCATTTGTCCTTGGTGATCATAGTGTATTGACTTTTATGTGTTCTTTTGATGGTTTTATTTTCAAATGTCCCTTCTGTCTTCTTGTTCACTTTGACCTTTTTATTGTTATATTCCACATCCACAGGATCTTTTAATGGTCTTCAGTGTTTTTTCAGTGGCCAAAGAGAGGACCGAGTGGAGGTGTATTTGCGTTCCTGGGAGAGCTGCAGAAAGGCCTCGGGGCAGGGAATCTAACTTCCAACTTTTATCAACCACAGAAAGCTGACTCATTCTATTTTATCCTTGGTACAAGCAAAATGTGCAAATGCAAGAAACATAAGAAACAACCATGGTTGTTGACTCCAAATCTCCCGAACACTACGTCGATTTGAGAACGCAAGACCGAGAGAGCGAGACCAAGACAAGACCGAGACCACGTAAAAGTGTTCTCGAGACCAAGACTGGTCTCAAGACATCCAACTCTAGTGTGTATGGATAATAGCAAACACTAAAATACATGTTTTGCATGTAGCAATGATTTTTTTTTTTCACTCAAATTTAGCTTTTCTTCACTCAAAATAAATTTCTCCTCAAAATGTAACACGTGCACCTGCAAATTTATTTTATGTGCGCTCAGAATAGTGGCACAAAAATAATGCCATACTTTTAAAGTAACGGTTTAACAACTGCCAGCTTGAAGGCCTGTGGTACATAAATGATTTGTCATGGTTTACGGAGCAGGTTGTGAGGTGTTAGTGAAGGAGGAGCCAAAATGGTAAATGGCCTGTATTTGTATAGCGCTTTACTTAGTTCCTATGGACCCCAAAGCACTTTACACTACATACAGTCATTCACACACACATTCACACACAGGTGATGGCAAGCTACATTGTAGCCACAGCTGCCCTGGGGTGCACTGACAGAGGCGAGGCTGCCGGACAC